TCAACATGGAGACAGGCGAATTGCACATTCTCCTGTTGTATTGTTCCGCGTTTTCAATGCATTAACCAGGTCGCAGTAGTCGAAATAACGTTATGTGAAGTGCGATGTTAGCTCATCTCCACCTTTTTTTGCTTTGAAATGTTTTGCGAACCGCTGATACGCGACTGAGGCGTGTACTACACGTGCTGTGCATCGCTTGGCTGCAATTTAGCCGAGGTCAATTGCTCGCTGACGTTCATAAGACTGCTAGACGTCCGTATGGGAGTACTCAATGTGGAAGTGAATAGGGGTAATGTTGGCAGCAGGTATGGATTTGCAGGACCCGTTCCAGTTGTGTGTGTGTGTGTGTGTGTTAACTTTCCAATAGTAGTTAGCTATTCCTTTGGCCGGATACCCGATTGGTTGATCGTTGGCACTCGTAGCGCAGTCGTTGGTCTTTTGACGCTCGCAACGTTGGAATCTTTGCGTGAACGGTTGAACAGCCGAGAGTTCGCCTCATACTCAGTAACAACCGTGTGTGTGGTCGTAACTAACTGTCAGTAATCAAAAAGACTGACCATCTGCTTTGCCTGGGGTCTGTCGTGTGATGAATTCTCTATGTCCTGTTTCGGCTAGTCGATGAAACACTTGTCTTCTTCCCGAATAGCACCTGGAGGCTCCCCCATCATGTGTGGCGATAACGTGTTGCATCTCGTGTCTCGTAAGGTCGTGGGTGCCGAACGATAGGCTCCTTGGAATGTCGAAGGTAACGGTAGATAAGCAAATTGTGAACTCCGAATGCGGCAGTGCATCTCTCAATGAACACTTTTTCCCCGCATATTCAGGTGATGTGTTTTGCAATGGGGAGCGGTCGTCCCAAGTCAGCCAGTTACCGAGACCGCTGGTGGCGGGGGACAACGGACCTACTTGGCAGTGCGTTAAAGTGCGTCAAATTCTGTCCACTTCCGAACGCCTACATTCATCGCGAGCCGCATATAACGTTGGTCTGAGTGAGTTAATCCGCGAAGAACCCAAAACTTCGTCATAATAGTCGTTTCATCGGTCAAAATGTCGTAGGTGATGCCACCGAGAGTCGTGCAATTCTGCGTCTGTGATTCTCGATCGATGACCTTATTATCGAGACCTGCTGTTGGCAGCGTCTGTGTCCATGCGAGAGTGGACGTCTTCCTCAGTGACGTCTCTGATGCGGCGTCGCTTGAGAATTTCAATACGTTTTCCAAGTGTCATGATTCAGAGAGGACCTACTCCGACAAAATCACCAGCCTGAGTTGTGTAGATTATGACTTGCAGACCTAGGAGTAATCGGAAGGGATCTGCAACAACGACCGATGGTGCTGTAACACTTTTGTGCATCGGTAAGCTTTGATAAGAAGTGAATTGGGCTCTGAATGGGAATCTTCAGTTGACGGGGGTATAGGAGCGTTGGATAGTTTGTGCAAAAGCGTTGTGGGATCTAGTGTGAATCGCTAGGGCCATTTTTTCACTGGAAGTCTTGTCCACCTCGTCTATCGTACTCACCTTCTTATGGCTGCCGTTTAGAAGGTAGATACTCTGAGGTGTGGTAGTCACGAACCGACAAGGGACATTGGCAGCTCCCAGATGACGTCTAAGTTGACTGATCAACTTTGGTTCTTTGAATTTCGCAAAACGCTCGGCTTGATGTCACTAGGCCTTGTCCAATTCCATCTGAATAAACATGGGTTTATCGTGTAAATTGAATGGAAAATCGCCTAGATTTGGCATAGATTTGAACTTCCGTCTGCTGATGGAATGACTTGATATTTTCATAGCACTCCAGTACTGTCCATTAACTCGCGCGACTTTGCAGTCCGAACCCGGGTGATCCCAATTCCTGTGGTTCGTTGGAACCGTTGAATGGTCGGCAGCGGGGACATCTCAAATTGGCTTGATGGCGTTGGTGGAACCACAGAATCGACCAGTGATCGCGCACAGGCTGACGTGGCTTAAATGAGCAGGAAATGATGTGAATGTCCGTCGCGTTGGTAGCTCCCACTCCTGTTGAGCATCTTCGTTTCCAGACAATTCGAGCAAAAGTGCGGCACCACAAGACGTGGACCTCCGACACGACCTCCGAACTTACGGACACATCGTTTATTAACTGCCTTAAGTTTCCGCCAGTGCTTTGTAGCGCATGTCAGTCGCAGTTCTGGTGCCCGACTAGCTCATTTGCATTGGCTCTTGAGAGCGACGCGTTTTGTACGAGTGACGTCACACAGATACCTCCATGTTGCCACTATCTTCGACCGCACACCCACCGTCTTGTCGTGGCGCTGAGAGCGCGGGATTTGACTCAGACGCATACCACAACACGTCGTACCCAGCACAGCATTTCCCTTAGCCCCTGTGTACTTAAGTAGTACAAATATGCGTATCTATGACTGTACAAATGCGCGCACACACGCACACACACGCAGGCGAATGCAGGCATCATCGATCGGTGCAAAAATGCGACGTACACGTGTGGGTTGTCGCGTCGCCGTTCGCACTGCTTGCACGTCTACGCGCACACGGCCGCCCGCGCGTACGTGCGCGCGTGCGTGCATGCGCGTCCGGATGCCCACAACCAGTTGCGCAGTTTGCACGATACTACTGAAGCACGTTCAGCGATCATTTTAATGGGCAGTGTCGCCGCGGTGAGTTGTTGGCTGTTTAAGCAAATGATTGTTGATGAGTCACAACTTGAACTAGTGCTGCAGCAGTGCGTCAACAACGATCATTTCTTTTACCAGATCCTGTCTCAATTTACTCAACAAATTGTGCCCACTGGTTACTGTCAAGGCTTCTTTCACTGACCGGAAACTTTCTGGAAATAGTACCGCCTTTTTCAATTTTTGCGTAAATTCGTTCAGGTGGCCGATTATGTCGTGTATTTTGTGCGATTTGACGGACTACAGTTGTGGAACAAGTACTTTGTCTACGGAACACGCCAGCGGCACTCCTGAAGTGCAAATGCTGTGCGACTCATCAGAATCCTAGATCCACAAACGTCCTCGTGCTGGTTGGCGCTGGTTTCTTACTCCCACATACATGACGCAGGTTCAGAGCAACTCAGCCAATGGTTGTTGAATCTCGGCTCTGAAACTGCCCCAAGGCATGCATTGTTTGCAACCCTCTCCCACGTACCCTCAGAAACAAAGTCTGAGGCGCGATTAGCAGTATTTACCGTGATTCGGTGTTGCTATTTTCACTAGTTGAATTTCTAGTAGAAAGCCCTCGATACGATGACAAAATTAGTGCTCTTCTGACGTCAGCTGAATGAGTTCGTACAAGTTATCATTATTGGGCCCATGTGGTGTGTTGGATCAGATTAACAGGTGTTCTCGTCGCACTTGAAGACGCGTTTCCGTGGAGGGTCTGAATCCATAGGTTTCCCAAATTCTGCCAAAGAGCATCTTTTCCCAGGCTACCTACCCACCAGTTCATGTTTGCAGTGAAACCAAGGAGCTTAAGGTAAAGGGGGAGAGAAACATTTACCACCCCAACCCCCATTTTTAACGATTACGACTGCCAAATTGAACACAGAGGTCTGAGCACCGTGTTCGTCGATTTCCAACGTCAACTCGGCCTAACGGCGGCCCTCGTGTTACTGGGACACGCTGGGCGAAGTTGTCAATCACGGTTCGCGTCGGACGACTGCTGCACGCCACACACGGCCGGCCGACCAATCAAACTCCTGCCTGAACAGCAACACGGCCTTAGCCACTCGCGTGCCGAGTCACACAGTCGGTGGTCGAGAGGGTCAGGTCTCATTTGGTGAAGCCTGCCCCAGTTAGCATTGAATACTACCGTACGTTAAGTATAATGGCCGATGAGCTGCCCTTTCTGTGGCCACATCGTGATTACAATTCCACGTTGTGGCAATACGGTGAAGTTTCAACTCTGTGGAACCAGTATCCTACATTTGTGAAAACTGTACGCTTGTTTGGATATTCGTACACCGGGGCTGAAGTTTTAGGTATTGGTTAGGCCAATATTGGTATGGGGAACCAATTACCTCCTTTTGCGCACATTCAGCCACTGAAGTCCAAAGGTAGAGGCTATAATGATCGGAATTTAATGCCAACACCACACTTGTACACGCGTTTTTAGCGTAATTATGAAGTAGTGCGATCACACGGCTCAGACTAAACAGGCGTAACGTGCTGTTGTGCCTTCCCAAGACTTCGTGCACCGAGCAACCTCTGTATGTCTCCCGTTCCCTACAAATTTGCGCGTTTCGCACGCATTCGGCTTGGTTTTATTCTTTGTGTATTGGCACATCGCATACCTACATGTTTATCGTCTGAGTGATTGTGGTTTCTCACTCAAACAGGATGTCCGTTCGTCCACACATACACACGTTATCCGGCCATTGTGCCCCTTTGAAAAAAACTCGGATTCGGCATCCTCTTGATGTGCTACTCCTCTGAATCTGAGCGTGTGTGTGCGTGCACGCCAAGCCGTTTGGCAAGGTATACTGGCTTACAGTTGAACCACAATTGTCATTTTCGAATGCTCATTGGCGCTCCTTCTAGTCCTTGTGACCCACAACCTCGTAAATTGGTATTTATCATTTTGCACACACACACACACCGCCAACGTGGCGATGCGTCTTCACGTCGCTCGCCTTTTGCTTATTGTTCGTGGTGCACGCTTGATTTATTTGGCTCTTGTCATGCACACTGTCTGATCCGACACCTTCTTTGCATCGGCACAAACTACCTGACATGAAACGCCTAGAGGTCCGAAACTTCGCACCCCCCATCGCCTTGAGGTCTTCTTCCTGTCTAATCAGTGTTTTTCCCGTCTTGACGACCGCTGAATTACTTTCTCACTGAGCCAATTGTCTCGTTTCTCTGCCTTTCAGCATTGGCTACCCGGTCGTTACTCTGGGTTTCGGATTGAAGAGTCTTCTGTCGCATCATCTTCGTCTGGTACGTTGGCTCTTTGTTATTGTCGTTCATGCGTCTGTGAGGTCGAAAGCAGCGGTTGGCTGTGTTGATTCGTGTAGTTTGAGCCAATGGCCTTATTCTGGGCACGGTTACTGGCGTTACTTGTTCCCTTCTGGACATGTAACCAAGCGATTTTATCGGTCACGTGCGTGGTTTGCGCCATTTGACCCATTTCTTTGGCTTTTTTCTTGTTAATTAATAACGCGTTCATCTGAAGGCTTTAATTGCGAACGTATCATCATGAGAGGAGAGGAGGGGTATAAGATGTGGTCTAACCGACAACCAAGTCACGTGCCCACTGCCCTAGAGTGGGTCTTTAAAGACGACGTAAGCTAGAACCATGCCCTTGCATTTAGGTAGTAGGGTGATCTTTTGAATGCAGAAAGGCCGGTTCACGGTTGGTGATTTGGAAGGCCAGCAGCGTGCTCTCTGATTGGTTGGCCTGCGCCATCACCTGATTGGTCAGCACTCCACTCTTCTCTACCCCAAGGGTTGGTCTCGCTCTTTTTGATCAAGAGAATTTCGTGTGTGTCTGGGAGTAGGTATTACCTCATCCACCTCTAGCGACTGCAACCACGTCTGCATCGATCCATGGCGATTCGCATGACACACACAAACACACGGCCAGCCCAGGACACGGCGAACACGCGAGGAGGCTGCATCGTGCATCTTGCGGTTACCGGCGTTGTTTGAATGGGTGGGTGGGGGGGTGGATGCTGGGATTCTGCGCTTGTGCGTGAGAATATTTACGTGTCACGATGTGTGATCCCGCGAATGTGCTTATGCTTTTAAAGTACACCCCGTAAAAGCGGGTTAACAGCACTTCATGATGTCCCCCTCAACATGGACCAAGGTTATCCAACTCACTTGCATCCATCGCCCAATGCAGAACACCACAAGGCCGATTAGGCATCAGCAAGGTGAGGTCACAATCGCACCGATCAGACCGGTGATCGTTTTGGCGATGTGGATGCACCGGCGTCGGAGACTGGACTACTCAACCAATCATCCGATGAGCAGCATCACACGATCTTGTGTTAGCTTGCCTTTAGGTCACCGCGCGGCCGAGCCGACTGCGCACTTCTGTTGTAATCTCTCTTTCTCTCTCTTTTTTTGTTTCAGCGTCGGCAGCACTACGTCAAGACGCAGAACTCAAAGTACTTTTGCCTTCTCGAATTGGCGCTGCCCGAGGAGGCTCGGTCACTTTATCGAAGAGGTACGTCAGTTTTGCACCGGCATATCTCACCAGCATGGGTTATGAGCGGGGAGGCATCTTTACGACATTCTCCTCGACAGAGTTGCGACGTGGCGTCTAGCAAACACCTGGACGGCGGGTTGTGGGGTTTGCCGAACTGACTGCTCGGTGAGGTCTGTGGCGGTGCATTGGTCGATGCCACACGCCTCCTTGGACTGTCGTTGTCGTCGTCGTAGTTTCCAACGATCGGTAATTGGCTGTGTGCAGTGCACCTTCGTTGTTCGCACGTTGCACCCTTCCTCGCCTCAAGTGACAACATCGCCTGAACGTTGTGCAAGGCGAAGAAGGCGGGGTCTGGCGCGCGTCGAGCTTCTGTCATTCCAAATTTTCCGCCAGACACTAAACAACGTACTTCAATGTTGTACTCTAGTAATATGTTTATGGATGAACACACGAGGAAGCGTTGTTTTGAAGTGTTCAGACACAGTGAGAAGACGGTGTTGTGGGCCCCAGCGTGTGGTCTTGAACTACGCCGGGCCACGGGGTTAACCCTGGCCCGATTACGCTTGCCTGATACCCGCGATGAAGACAAAGATCGGAGAGGACGTGGGCACAACCGTTTATTTCAGACCTCAACCTCGTTGGTGTCGTGTGTGGGGTTCGCGCGTGTGTATTTATATCTCGGATGTGTGAGTCATACATTCGCTCACATCGCGACCTAGGTGTGGGAATGCTCCAAGATAAATATCCGTACGAATGAGGGAGGAGTTGAGGATCCGTGCGGCTGGCGACATGCCGCGAAAAGGGGAACCCGGTGTAGGAGACTGGTGTGACCGGAGTAAGGGGTGCGAATGAACACGTTTGACAACAAAGGCTTCTCGATCTTTGGCCTTGTGAGAACCGAATTTACTGTGCCGCACTATCGAGCAGTCATCTAATCATGGTCGTTCAACTTGCCAATATCTTGCCATATTGAGATGCTGGTGGAAAGTGACCTCTTATGAGAGCCTAGGCTTTTACAATCTTAACAAAGGCTGGTCAAGTTTTTTTCGATGGATGCGGATTCCTTCTTCTAGAGGTTGTGGAAGGGCTTGCAGCGACGTGTTGGCATTTGGTTGTAACTGCTTGAAGTGCCATCTTCGGTTTTGTGTCACCAGTCTTCCCCCCATGCCATCGTTGTGAGGTTCTGCACTACAGAACAGAGGTTGGTGCGGTGGCATTTTTTGCCTGGGATGTAGAAATGCAGTTTGCTAGATTACCTGCTCTTGTCTCGT